AAATGCTTTTAAGAATCAACTATATTTTTTTTACTCAAGTTATGACTATCACTACGAAGGTGTCATATGTCTATATCAAAGGAGATTTTTTTTTTCCCAAACATAAGGTTTATACTTTTGGATATTGATATGTTTGTATGCATCACTATAGGCAGGGACATGGCAGTAAGCAGGTAAATGTTAATAATATCAATTCACGTAATGTACACGCCGCACACACATATATACATGTGTGTGTAGGATATCTATTTATGTATCTTTATGCGTACGTATATGAATATGTGACCAAGTACGTGGGTCACACAAATGCATACACAAATAAACAAACAAAAATACTTCTAATATACAGTGGATGTGTATGAATATGGGTGTATATAAACACACACACACAAACACACAACACACACACACACTATATATATATATATATATATATATATATATATATATATATATATATATATACTATATATATATATATATATACATATACATATATATATATATATATATATATATATATATATATATATATATATACATATATATATATATATATATATATATATATATATATATATATATATATATACATATACAGTATATACATATGCATATACACACAGACATGTTTATATACATTTACACATATATAAATATATTTATGTGCATAATATACATACATGTGTACACACACACAACACACATACTAAACATAATCATACACATGCTCTCTCTCTCTCACACACACATACATATATTTTAAGTGTATGTATGTGTGCATATTAATATATATATATATATATATATATATTATATATATATATACATTTCTATTAGAGGATCTACACACACACACACCAATATATATTTCTGTATATCAAACAAACACACACACACATACACAGATATATATATTTCTATATATAAAACAAACACACACACACACACATACTTGCGTGCGTGCATGTGTACGCACTCGAAATTGCCTTCTATAAAAAGACCGTCCAAATGTAGCAACATATAATCACAAACCCACATTGCTTCCAAGTCAACATGAGAAAGATCGAGTGAAAGAAAATTGTGAGTGTGTGTGTGTGTGTGTGTGTGTGTGTGTGTGTGTGTGAGAGAGAGAGAGAGAGAGAGAGAGAGAGAGAGAGAGAGAGAGAGAGAGAGAGAGGAGAGAGAGAGAGAGAGTGAGAGTGAGAGTGAGTGAGTGAGTGAGTGAGTGAGTGAGTGAGAGAGTGAGTGAGTGAGAGAGGAGAGAGAGAGAGAGAGAGAGAGAGAGAGAGAGAGAAGAGAGAGAGAGAGAGAAGAGAGAGAGAGAGAAGAGAGAGAGAGAGAGAGAGAAAGAGGAAAGAGAGAAAGAGAGAAAGAGAGAAAGAGAGAGAGAAAGAGAGAAAGAGAGAAAGAGAAAGAGAAAGAGATAAAAGAAAGAAAAGAAAGAAAGAGAGGATGTGAGAGGATCAAAAAAATATCTAAGCTTGCCAACAAACAACGAACAACCCTAATCCCTCCCTTCCTATTCCTTCCTTCGCCCATTCGCGCTTCCCATTTCCCCATCGCAGCCAGGCAGCCAGCGGAGCCTCGCCTGGCGCAGGAGAGAAGTGGAGCAAGATTACATTTAACGGTGTTGTTTGAGGAACATTCGGCCGCCGGGGAGAAATGCGGAAACGCTCGCGAATAAGCTGTTGTCTCGTTAGGCTGTTTCTCCCCGAGCGGCGTCCTGGTTCTCCTCCCCGTCGTCAAATGCGCGGCCGCAGCCTCACCTCCTGCTCGGAAATTGAAAAAAAAACCTTTCTTAATATCGTCTTCCGTCTCGTTGTTCCCGGACCCCGAGGAGTATCGAGACCATAGCCCCGCCGCTGTCACCTCTACAAGGTCACACGAGCCCGCATCAGCCTTTCTTGCGACTTCCCGCTCCGGAACTCGGGATCCTCGCATATCGGGGGATAGGCGTGCGAGAATGCGTGTGCTCCCGGTGCTATTGGCTGAGAATTATCGGAACTAGCGATTTCCATTACTTCTAAGCCCGGCGGAGGCTTGTGAAACCGTTAAATCGTCGTTCTTGAAGTGTTGCGGTCAATAATGAGGCAAATTTGGTCGACCTGTAACGCCAGGCCACTTGGAAGACTTCCTCGCCTAGATCAGCACTGGCCAAGGTTGACGTACTCTCTTGCCTTGCATTTGCTGTTTCACTAATTGGCATTATCTCGCCATTAAAGAAAGATTAACCCACGACTCTTCGTCTGCTCTTATCGCCTAGTAGATACCGTTCAGCAGATCACCATGTACTGCATTTACGTTGCAAATATTCGCTTTATCAGCCTTATTCCCTTATTCCACGATTCTTGCCGACACTGGAATAATTGCTGTTACCATCCAAATCTTTCAGCGTGAAACCATACGAGTAAATCCCATAGAATTATGGCCCCGTTTGCCACACTTGATCATTCACTCTGACGCACCTTAAATCATCAAAATTCCCTAATATATTCAGGAGAGAAATGTGTGTACAGCAATTTACAAACCCATGATATAATCAGGGCCGTGACAGGTACGGGAAAGGCGTTAGTTACCTGGTGGTTGGTCCAAGGGGCGTGCGAGCTGCCGTAACTTTTCCTGAACTTATTCGCTCTTGCATTTAGAAACACTTTGTATTTCCTTGAGTCTCACAGAATCTAGCTCGCCAAAAGGCATTTCACAGTTGACTAACTCCTCTCGCTTCCCAATATCACTTAGCGGGAAGTCGTTTCATAACTGGATCGGATCAAAGCCGATCTCCGAGCAGGCCGTTTCTCCGCGCCGCCCCACCTCAGCCGGGTGGCCACAGTGACGTCTCGAAGGAACCCAACCCTCGCTGACGTGTCCTCGTGCTGCCTCGGTACTCTGGAGAAGCACTGGTCCAGCCAAAGCTTATCTATTCCGACGTCCACATCCTCTGAGCAACTTGTGACCCACCTGCTTGCCACGTACGGACACTTCGTTCAGTCACTGCGATGTAGGAGACAATACACTGTTGCACTGTCCGTCTCTCGCGGGGAGGACGTTCGAAGAAGTACTTTCCTAATTGTCTTAGACTTTCCGCTCCCCTTAACACACCGCGAGAGCCCCCTGCTTTCTGCGGCGACCCGGACGCTTCGCCACACACCTCGCCCCGGTCGCCTGGGAAGCTCGGAGGCTTATTTCTCACTCGAGTCACTCCTGGAGGCTATCGCCGCCGACACTGAAGGAAATGAGTTTCGTCTCTATTGTCACGAGACGTTTGGAATTTCACTTTATTTACTCACTAAGATATGCTTCTCCCTCGCCTACGAACGAGCGGTTAGACTGCAGGCGCTCGCAGGACGCATCAGCTGCTATTCAGTGCCGCTGGGAGTGTTACTGAGCACCGTTAGAACAAACTGTAAAATACCAAGACCGAACGCAACGTTATGCGGTCCGAGCGGAGGAACAGCACTTCCTCACACCCCCGCGTCCACCGCCATACTGAGCCGCTCCACCGCCTGTCACTGTCAGCTGAGCTCCTCTCCCCCCGCCCCCACCCCGCGCTCCGCATCACCAGCACAGCCTACCTGCCTGCACGTTCCACAGCTTCTACAGTGTAGCCGCTGCCACGGTGCAGGTCGCACGCACGCACGCGCACCCCATGACGGCTGTTCTGACCTCGCGGTGACAGCTGAAGTATCGCCTGTTGCGGAGACGAAGATAGTGGAGTGCAGTGGAGGGGCGCTGGGCTCACCTCTCGGGCTTTTAATTGCTTCGGGATACACTTATTTATTTGTTTTCTTCCCCGGTAAATATTGCAATGTTATTCCCCGATTCCTTCATAACATACATACTAACACGAAGAGTTCACAGACGAGCACTATACATACCAAAAAAAGTGAGCACGCTGTTTATTATCATCACTATTTCCAACCAGCATGAGTTTCATTTTATTTCTGCTAATTTAGCCAACGCAACAACGACCACAGAAGAATACAGTTGTAATTAAAATCCAAGGAAGCACTCACGATGATATGCAGTTGCACTATATTCAAGTAATGAAGACTAATGACATTACATGCCATTGTGAACTACGAAGCGCAGAACTTAGTCATGTCGAGTATGGCCACACATGACGCAACGAAATGGAACGAAAGGAAACGGGAAACGGCGATGTTTTTGGAAATGGTTCGTCGCTCTACACGATGAATTAATACAGATATTATTTCATGATGAACTTTTTAAATTCTCGGCAGTTCGCAAAAGACAATGGTCCATTCCTTTGGGCTATTTAACTCTTCCGCGATAAAATGCTGTTTGGAACAATGCTCTCTCTCACCTGGCGCATTTCTCTTTATTTTCTTTAGTCGAAACTTACAAAAGGCTAACTCAGCTAGGATTAAAAAGCTTAAATAATCCCAGAATATGTCTTTTAATATTGATAATATGCAAAATAAAATGCGTCATGATCATGGCTATAAAGACCTCAAAATGGAATACTTCCTGATACTTGGGTAATGGAACCATACATAAATATCTATGTATATACATACATACATATGATATACATATATGTATGCATACATATATATAATATATATAAATACACACATACGCAGACATAAACATAAAGATACATACATACATACACACTATATATACATACATATATATCTATCCACACACACACACATATACTGTATATATGTACCTAATGTATCTCACTGTAACTCCAAATCTTTCGTAAAGGCGTGTAGTGAAAGCGATATGAAATGTGATTAACCACTAGTTATTATAATAATCAAAATAACATTAGAGACACTGATAATGTGAAGGATTGTGCAAATATGGGTGCAAACTGCTAATTACTACCCCTATTAGTACTACTACTACTACTCTACTACTACTACTACTACTACTACTACTACTACTACTATTACTACTACTATTACTAACTCTACTAACACTACTACTACTGCTACTACTACTGCTGCTACTACTACTACTACTACTACTACCATCACTACTATAATACCACTACTACTGCCGTCACTACTACCACTACTGCTACTACAACGACTACCATAAAACTAATATGAAGAAGAAAGAAAGAAATAATAAAAAAAAGAGTAGGAAAGGTGAGACGGCAGTTTTTAAATGAACAAGGTAGTTTGTTTATTGCCAGTCAGTGATAGCGACAGTGATAGCAATGGCGATAAACATACGTGGTAGTTATGATAATAATTCTAATCAAGTTGATGTAATGTAATGGTAATGATAATGAAAATGATACTACGACTATTACTGCTACTGGTGCTACAACTACTGCTACCACTATTATCACTTCTACCATTATCATTATTACTACTACACTTCTACTACTGTTACTATTCCACACTATAACGACTACTACTACTATTTCTACTACCACCACTATTATTTCTACTACTACTAATGCTACTACCACTTCTACTAAATCTACTACTACCATTATCACCATAACTACCACTACTACCATTAATGATACTAATAATTACCATAAGAGGCTAATAAAAAAATAGTCACAGTATTACCACAAGTTAAAAAAATCGCGGAAAGTGTAATAATTAAGATGATTAAGATCATAATGGCAATAACAGTAATAATAACAATAACAATAACAATGATGAGAATAACGTATAACGGGAGTAATAATAAACAAACAAACGGTACCTTTCAGCCAACAAAACAATATTGATTACACAGAAAAATAAATAAAAAACGGAAACGACAATAGTGGTGATAAATATGGTAATATTTCGAAAGGACAAAAACAAACAAAATAAAATAAGAACGATGATAAATAAACAACAACATTAGTAATGGTAGAGATTGCGAAAGTGTTAAAAAAGGATTATTACGAAAGTATAAAGTATAAAGGATATCCAAGAAGAAAAAAACAATAATGACGAAAGTATTAAAAATAATAATGATAAGTATATAAAAAAAACAACAAAAAAGGCCAAAGTAAAAAAATACAATATCAAAAAAAAAAAAAAAAAAAAAAAATGAAAAAACAACACCGAAAATATATCAAACTAACATTACATAATAAAAAAGATATATAAAAATGACCAATGCACTTCAGGTCACGCGTCAACTCATCAGTCCCGGAGCATTAAACCTTCGCGCTGTGACACCATAACACCAGCAAAGAGGGATTTCCGGCCTTATCTACATTACATTGTTGTCGGAACTGAGACGAACAAATAAACAAACTTTTCCTAGTGTTATATAATTCCTGTTTTTGGTCTTATTATGCCCGTGGGTTAAATTAGGTCAACTGTATTGTAATATTTTATTTCTTTAGTGGTTTAGATTAGAAGTTAAAAGGCGATCGTAAATTAAATATTTAATGTTTATGGGTATATTGGTTGAATAAAATACGGTTTATAAAACGACACATCTGATTCTTATAGATTAATGATTCATATTCTAGAAATAGCATTGTCAGATAATCATATTCACTATACGAATAACAGTCAAGATACAAAAAAAAAAAAGAAAAAAAGAAAAAAAAACATGAATAATCAGAAGAACAAGGGAAATGAAAAAAAGAAGGAAAAATTCACTCGATAAAAAAATATTATCAACGACGTCGATGAACTGGCTTCCTATAACCCATGTATGTCATTCGCACGATTCTAACTTACTCAATTAATTACCTATATACCTTGAACGCGCATCAAACAACGGAAATGACACAGGTGTTTCGTCGACGTGAACGCATAATCACGAGTTCGTTGTACGGCAGAATGACCATAGATAAAATAACGAAAACCAGATTAAATCGACGAAAACCAGACACGTTCTTTTCACACAAGCCAAGAACAGCGAAGTGGTACACAAGACGTGACGAACGAACACCCAGAACGGACAGTCTCATACGGTGAAGCAAATGTGAAGGTGTAGAGAAGAAGGAGAAGGAGAAGGAGAAGGAGAAGAAAAAAAGGATTATAATACGACGAACAATCCCTGCCTGAGGTAGAGTTGTCACGTTCCTGGGTTGATCCGAAGGTGTAATCTCTGGCGGGTGACGTTCGCGCACGATTCCCGCAGAGGCGTTCGTGTGACCGCGAGTAGGAGGGAGAGAGGGAGAGAGGGAGAAGGTGGAGAGAAGGAGGGAGAGAGGGAGAAGGAGGGAGAGAGGGAGAAGGTGGGAGAGGGAGAGAAAGAGAGGGGTGAAGGAGGGAGGGAGAGAAAGAGAGGGAGGGAGGGGGGAGGGAGGAGGGAGGGAGGGAGGGAGGAGAGGGGAAGGAGGGAGAAGAGAGTGAGAGAGAGAAAGAGAGAGAGAGAGAGAAGAGAGAGAGAGAGAGAGAGAGAGAGAGAGAGAGAGAGAGAGAGAGAGAGAGAGAGAGAGAGAGAAGAGAGAGAGAGAGAAGAGGGGAAATATGAAAAAATAGAAATAGTGAGATAGAGATAAAGACAGATAATGAGAGAAATAGATACCCATAGAAACAGCAAGACGAGAGAGAGATGAAAAGAGATGAATAATAAGGAAACTAACCAGTATTCTAAACTAACTCTCACTTCACTTCACTTCACTTCAGGATACGTGGTTCTGAAGCCCTTTTGCAATCTGTATTTTCAGTACATCATCTAGTCTCGTTTATCTAATATATGTGATCTTTATAGACTGAACGGAACTTTTATACGAGGTCAATTCTCTTTATGACCTGAGTGCTGAACGAATATTCGAGGTTGAATCTCTTCACGACCTGAGTGCTTAACGATTTTGGGTCAAATCTCTTTACGAAACTGAGTGCTGAAACTAATATTCGAGGTCAAATCTCTTTACGAGTTGAGTGCTGATACGCCAGGAGTAAAAACGAAAAAAAAGGTGTCTTCGATTCCACTCGCGCAGTCGGTCTGGATGCAAGGCGCAAGCAAGCTGAACCGAAACCTGACATTCCGGGTTCATCATCAAGCTGGTTCAGGGGAAGGTAGTTTGAACATGCGACTCGTCTGGTTTTCAATCGAGATACCGACTGGAAATATAACATTTATTACATTCACAGTCTATTAGAGTAAAAAAGCTAGTGCTATCTCGGACAGCCATTCGAGCCCCGTGTTTCACGTTATGGCGAAATTGAAGAGGCGGTTTTTGGCCAATATCTGCGTCGGGTTTTTGTCCCCCGCTAAGCGTATTCAGGTATGCCGGTCGGGTCGGGAAGAAACTCGCCGGGTTTAGAGGAACGGCTCCGACACTCCTTGCTTTTAATGAAGATCTTTCGCCGAGTGGAGCTGAGTGGGTCTTCTGCCGACTCACGGGGCCGTCGGGGGGAGTGGAGAATCGGTTCCCTTTGTAATATACTCGCTGAACCACCGCTCTTCGGACGGATCTCCTCGTCACTCGCCGGAGGACTCTACTCGTCGCGAACTCTCCTGATGATGAGACGTCCTCTTCGTTCAATTCAGGGAAAAACGAGAAACATACACATACACACACATGACGAGAGAGAGGAAGGGAGGGAGAGAGAGAG